GCAAACTTTACTTTTGCCTAGGGCGGCAAAAATCCTTGCACCGGCCCTGTTTCCAAGCAGTGATTTTGGACTCTTTGAATACCACATCTGCCTTTCTCCAATCCTCTGGTACAATTCCTTAAAGATTAACAACCTAGATTAATTTATTTCCACACTTAGCTCATTAAGTACTAGTGGTAGAATATTGCCTTTAGTTGCTGCAGCAGCTTGTCTCAAGTCATACAATCCCAATTTTTTGCAAGTTTTTTTTGCAGCAATCATTTGCATATTTATTGCCAAAGGTTCCTCCTTAATATATGCTGAAGAAAACTAGTAATTTAACATTTCTGAATTGTCCTGCTCTTCATCAACTATCATATCCATTTATGTTTTTTTTTGGTTTACCTACACTTTAAATGAATTATTATTATTTTTAAATGTATGTATTTACATTTTGTTTTAGTTGTTTTGCTTTCTTTTGCTATCACTTTCTTATTTTCTAGCTTAGTCCCTCTAACCACCTTTTATTTAAAATTTCTTGGTTTACCTTCCCACTAAGCCACATTGGTTTCAATGTGTTTATTTTATAGTTACTACCAAGTGGCATCTACTGAGATGTGTACCTTTCTATTATTTCCTTAAATATATTCCACTTATCCTCAGAGTTCTTTTTTTTTTTTTTAAACTAAAGCATTATTCCAGACATTGTAAAGCTGCAATAATCTTGTGAAAATTGTACTTTTAAAAATTCATGTGAAATTGTTTTTTTTTAAATTTATTTCAAAAGACATCACTATTCCCATGTGCTCCCCTACTTTAATGTTCCTCAAAAGATCAACATTGTTTGTTATAACCAGATCCAGAAAAGCTTCCTTTCTACATGGTGCTTGTACTAGTTGTAACTTGTAGGTGTCAGTTAACAGATTAATAAACCTCTCTAGCCTTTGCTGAACTGCTAGTCCATCTATCCCAATGTATGGCTGAATAATTAAAATCTCCTATAATTAATATGATACCTAGATGTGCAGATTTTCCAATTTGCTCTAACAGCTGTTCTTCCTCATCAATATTAACATTAAGTGGTTTATAACATATTCCAACCAATAATGGATTTCCCTTCTTTTGCCACAAGCAGATATCTACCCATAAAACTTCCACTTCTTCCTCATCACTTTCCATGTGCTGAATATTTGGCTTTAACTCATGGTTGGCATACAACATACCCCACCACTTTTCCTGTTTTTTCTATCCTTCCTAAATAATTTGTAACCATTTAAGTTAACTGTCTAGTCATGTACCTCATCCCACAATGTTTCAATTGTCCCTATTATGTCATATTGCTTAGTGTTTGCTATGGCTTCTAGTTCCCCCGTTTTGTAGAATCACAAATTAAACGTGAAGTGTTTGAACATGATTATTTTGATTCCTGACTCTGAATTCCACCTGTAGTGCCACAAAAATAGATAATTGATGGTTAGAGGACAGGCACTAAATATTGATTTTACTGATGTAACCAAAAGAAGAAATCCACACACTTATGTCTTGCAGACCTCGGTGCAATGAGACCTTGAGCTAGCTATCCCCTAATCCATGCAGTAGACAACAGTATAGTCCAGGCACTTAATGACACTTATGCAGCAGTTTTATTGAAATTACAGGCAAATTAATCTTAATTTTCCCATAATTCCAATAAAGCTGCTGCACAAGTGACCTTGAGTGCCTGGACTATACTGTTGTCTACTAAATGTTGACTTTATTCACAGATCAAGTGAGAAGTGAGCAATGGAAGGGAAAAAAAGCAAGAGCATTCTTTACTTAAAGGTAGGCAGACTTAAAGGTAGGCAAACAATGTAATAGAGCAGCAGGAAATGCTAGCAAAATGCTTGGTTGTATAGGGAGAGGTATTAGCAGTAGAAAGAGGGAAGTGCTCATGCCATTGTACAGAACACTGGTGAGACCTCACTTGGAGTATTGTACACAGTACTGGAGACTGTATCTTCAGAAGGATATTGATACCTTAGAGAGGGTTCAGAGAAGGGCTACTAAACTGGTTCATGGATTGCGGGATAAAACTTACCAGGAAAGGTTAAAGGATCTTAACATGTATAGCTTGGAGGAAAGACGAGACAGGGGGGATATGATAGAAACATTTAAATATATAAAGGGAATCAACACAGTAAAGGAGGAGACTATATTTAAAAGAAGAAAAACTACCACAACAAGAGGACATAGTCTTAAATTAGAGGGACAAAGGTTTAAAAATAATATCAGGAAGTATTACTTTACTGAGAGGGTAGTGGATGCATGGAATAGCCTTCCAGCTGAAGTGGTAGAGGTTAACACAGTAAAGGAGTTTAAGCATGCATGGGATAGGCATAAGGCTATCCTAACTTTAAGATAAGACTAGGGACTAATGAAAGTATTTAGAAAATTGGGCAGACTAGATGGGCCGAATGGTTCTTATCTGCCGTCACATTCTATGTTTCTATGTTTCTATGTTTACTGCTCCTCATTTTTTACCCTCTATTGATTACTTTTTCTCACTTGATCAGTGAACGATATGGTGGGAAAATGCACCTATCAGTATACACACAAATTGAACTTCCCACCTCCAATGATGTACTTGACATGCTCGTTAGATGAAACTCTAGGGAATGGGTGCAGTGCATCATACGTACAACATTGGTCTTCTTTCTTTTTATATTGCTGCAGTGCACTGGAAAAGTGGTTCTTACTCCTTTTGAACCCATAGTATAACAACGCTGAATAACCCACAACCAGGCAGAAGATGCTTTGTGTTATGCTACTAGGGTTTTTAGAATTGGAACTCAACTGCAGCTTGTAGAATTCCTTAATACAATAGTGAAGAAACTGAGAATCTTTAATTATCAATACTGTAGCTTTCAGAAAAGAGAGGATTGCTGGCAATTAGAGAATCAAACAAAGTTTTAATGATTGTGATAAACTTAAGTGAAAAGCGTATGGGTAATAATTCAATAAGAAGAAATTGCTGGTTATAGCAAATACAAAGTTCATCAATAAGTATTTCCTCAGAGATGTATTGAATACTATTCTTTAGGTTGATAGGAATAATCTTCAATAGAAATAGTATGCAGGTAGCAGAGTATATTTGCAAAGCAAGAAACAGTTCATAGTGGTTAAGCTTGATGGAAGTTATCCTCAATATAATTAGTGTGTATGCAGCAGAGAGGATTTGAGCAAGCAAGAAACAGTTCATTAATAACTGAGATTCCAGATAATAAATTGGAAGTCATACTTAAGATTAATGTGAGTTGTCCTCCAAGAGATCAGTATTAGAGTCCACTTGTTAAATGGTAAAGTGTCCGTTCTCCAGTAATCCTCTAGCGGATGAAGCATAATCCTTTTATCTTCAAAGGTTTAGGAAGGCTTGTGGGAGAAGCTTGTGGAGCCAGCGTCTATACCCGGAAGTAGGTCCCACAATCACCAAGCGCTTTCCCTCTGGCGTGGTCTCTCTAAGTAGTGTCAGAGAGCCGCGTCAGAAGGGGGTGGGGCCGGCTCAGCATAGCGGGAATGCCGAACCCGGAAGAGATACTGCATGACACTCTGGTACATGTTAGTGTGCCATATGGGGGAATAATTAAAGTGGAATTACTGTAAATGTTGTGCACTACGTACATATGCTTTCTTTTTTAGGGAACAAATATTCAGATTGTAATGGTTTAAGTCTGATTGTAACTATTTAAGTATTCATTTTATTTGTCTTAACAATTGCACTGAGAATTGAAGATTATGCTAGCGCAGTGTACTAATAATCTTAATTTTAATAATGACAGGAGGCGAGTATTTGCATTAACTTTCTTTACTAGCTCCATAGCAGCAAAGAAAAAAACCATTAAAGAAAGAACCAATCAGAGTAAAACAGAGGATATATAAGTCCCAGCGTAGCCATCCATTTCCTCTTGACTACTGCGACATCACAAGATCCAAATGTAGTAAGAAGTC